CACTGACTTTTTCATCTCAACTAAAAACCTTAATTAATTTAAAAATAAATATATATAAAAAAATCAATAAGTTGCATCTATAGTATTTGTTAAATATTTTCATTCGCATCTAGCTAATACTGTCAACAAGATTAACATTTCCAAAAGTTTTAATTAGTATGCTTTTGATATTTTATTCATTAAAACTTGATAAGGCTTTCATTGAAATTACGAGGTCAAAAATATTCATATAAAACTATATTATCTTGATAATATTGTTATTATTATTCGATTCTATAGGTTATTTTATTATTGCAATTTTTTTAAGTTTTCCACGAAACTGGGCTTTTTTAAGTTATGACAGCGGAAGACGGGGAGCGGGCAGCAACCCGAAATCGATACTTGTTAATGAATAAAGACGACATTTTATGAAAATGTGTTGTTGGTCGTCTCTGGTGTGGACTGGGATAAGATAAAAAAAAAGAAAAGAGTTTTACTCATAATAAATACCGTATAGTTACGATGGTAAACATTCCCTCTTTCCTAAATTTACTCTTTCTCACCTTTCTTCTTTGTCTCTGTCTCTCTTGAAGACGTTATTATTATTATTACAAAACGACATTTTCTTAGAATGCATAGTAGTTACGTTTTATGTAACATAGGTTACATAATAGACATAGAGAAGGTCTGTTGTAATGAAATCAACTTTTATCATACGGAAATATGCAACCCCGAATTTATGCCATAAGGAAAAAAAGACAGAGGGAGCAAGATAAAAAGAGGAAAAGAGAGCGAAAAGAAAGAGAAAAAAGATAGAAAATGCAAAACCAAAAGGGGGAATGAGGAGGGAAAGAAGAAATATAAAGAGAGAGATAAAGGGAAAGAGAAAGACGTAGATAGATAGATATTTAAATGGATATATATATATATATATATATATATATATATATAGAGAGAGAGAGATTCTTCGTTCTTTATAATACTATCATCTCTAATATTTACTACATCTAATTCTTGACAAATTGTTCCGTCATTAAATTATTATTATTAATTTAACTAATTAAAACTCAACTCATGAATGACAATGCGTAAATGGCCTAGGCCTGCACCCGAAGGTGTAATTTGCTTCTTTCTTTTTTCTTTAATTTCTAAATAAAATCCCCTCAAAGTGCTGTTTTTATTTTGGCACTTTCCCCCCTTTTTGCTTGGTACCTAACTTGATTTATAAGTTTAAGGCCAATTTTACTTTGACATAAATTAGAAAAAGTAACATTACACATAAATACAGTGCAGGGCATTCAATTATTTCTCTGTTTTCCGTTTATTTCGTCGCAGTGTCAGGATGCTTTATTTCAACATGTGACTTGATACGTTAGTTTTCATGTGGAGGGCCGTCTTTTATTTTGTCGAACGTTTTCAGATCTTCAAGTCTGTAATGTGAGAGGAAACTGTAGTGGGGACAGATGGGAGTTATAGGAGCTATCGCTACACGACCTGCACTATTCCCCGTGCCCAATGGTTCGTTAAGTTCTCCGAGGAAAAGCTCCTTTTTCTCCCTCAAACCATGTTAAAAGGGTTTGCCCCTCTGCATTGTCTAGCAACGGCTATTTTCCCATTTTGAAGAAAATCTAACTGGCCATTTTTTTCTTTGCATTGGGTTGAAATATAAGGTTTTTTTAAAAGGAGGATTTACACTCGCTATAAACGGTTTATAAAAGACAAAATAAAGAAAACTACGACCCATTTTATAGAATTAAGCACTCCACACATCAAGCAGGTTTAAAGGTTCGAAAAGAGAGAAAAATAACACATATGAAACAAAACAATTCAACGGATCTTATAGACAAAATCAAACACATAAAAACCACACCTATAACAAAAATAATTTCATTCGGCATAAAATACACCTTAGCCTATCTATCTAGTAAGGAAACAATGACATTTGAGAAAATGCACCACACAAAAACTGCAACCACTACGCACAACTTTCAAACGTAATAAAAACTTGTGAGATTTCTTCACGTTGTCTGCAGCGTGATGAACATGAAATTCGATCATTTTGGGCGGCTAATACTCTCTAGGTTGGACTGCCAGACGCGTTTTGGCCTATCACCTTCTTCGACAAACACACTGAACATGGCGAAATGCCGAACAAATCTGACGCACCAACGTAGCGAGAATAGGCCGGCCGAAATTTACGGTAAAGAGCAAATGTCATAGTATAAATAAAACAAAAAAGTCACTTTACTTTAGTGGACAAATACGAACGAAAAGTCGATCCATGGACAACCATACTCGCAGAAGCAATCTTACACAAACTTTGAAAAGAAGTACTTCCCCGAAAGACAACATTACACATATGTACAGTTACATTAATGACTCAACCCACCCCTCACATTGACTCATGAAGCAAAAAAAAACTTAATCCAAAGACAACGATAACCCGTCCACAGAATTTCTTTTTTGCCCAAATAACTAACCGATTGAGTGATTGAGAGGGGTGAAGCTCAATATGGAATGACTTCGGATCATTATCCTGCTACTATTGGCAGACATAGAAAAACAAATATAAATCGGTCTCTAAACACCTTTTAAAACACCTATGCTCGTGCAGTATGCTGCAAACCGTTGAGGATTATTTCTCTTGACAATTTCCAGGGTGTTTAAAAATTATCGCTTTCCGGAAATCACTAACTTTTTGATGGGAAAAAGAGCTAGAAGAAGATGAGTATTGACAATGGAAAAATTGTTCTATTACGACATTCATCATCCAACGGGCGTTGAAGAAGAAGAAGGAACACATACTGAGATTTGTTTTTATTTAGTTTTATTAATAATTTTCGGAACCGTGGTTCGAATGAAGGAGGTTGGCTTGGAGGGGTCGAACTGTTAGGAAAGGAACTAGGTTTACAGAGAGGATAGCTCATCAAAGGGAAAGTGGGTTACTGTTAAGGGAAGTACGCTGTGTATAAGCTGAAAAATAACAGACCTAAGATGTTTCGTTGAGAAACACCAGAAAGGACAGAATGGATTGAAGAAGTTCGGTAGATAACATTGAAGAAACGATCAAATAGGTACGATTTTAGGATGAGATAGTAGTATTAGAAAGGAAAGATTTGAGTTTCAGGAATAGACTCTAGTGCCATATGCGATCGAAACGTCTAGATAGATTCCAGGGCAGAACTGCTTACGCTCTAGGGATATTGTGATGACAACACGATGAATTGATGACTTAAGAAGTAGAGGAGTCAAAAATCATAGAAAATAAACACCCGAATATTACTAACATGGTGAACAATCCATTTATCTGTATTCCAAAACAGTGTTCCTCTACCCACGCCTGGGCTTGCTACTTGGAATCCTAAGTAGGTAATAGTAGTAGAAATGTGCACCTATAAATGTCTCACGTGGAATCTTTATACTAGATCGAAACAAAAAGATCCGATGATACAAACTTTTCTACGGACTCGTAGACAGACGATCAAAACTATGGCCTCGATAACAAAAGCCTAATCTTCAGGACATTATTCAAACCCATATGGAATTACTAAATCAAATAGGGGTAAGAATTTTAACATTTTTTCTACTGTTACCGAGGATTATGACCATACCGTGGAAAATGCGATTTTTCACACAAAATTAAGAATTTCCTCGGTACCTATTCGCCCACCCTCTTGGTGTGAGACATTATCGAGGTGGCTGTAGCGTATTCGGGCTAGTGCCTCACGTTCACAGATGATACGTGCCGATGTCTCTGTCTTCCCCTGAAACAACCATAATATTTTTGTCTCTTCTTTGTCCACTTCTTTAAATGATAGTTATGATAGAGGACAGTGGCCGGTATAAAGGCCTATAGTTTTACCACAAATCTTTCCTGCTGAGAGAGAAGAACCTTCCTCTTATTTTTATTTATTTGTAACTCTTAGCTTTTGCCCAGTGCTTGAGTTTTTCTTTCCCAAGCTCCAATTTTAGCAGACTCTCCGGTGCGCCTAGTTGTGGTTCCGGTCCCATGGGTGAGAGAGTCAACAACCCAGCTTCCCTTCCTGATAGTCCTCACTCTAACTTAAAATGTGGTACTATAGTAACCTCTTCAATCAAGAGTGCACAAGTCAATTATTTTATCATAGTTGTTATATTTTCCTGTTACAGTTAATTCTATGTTTGTAACTGTCCAGGGTTTTGTACTTACTCATATCTTGAACTAGTACTGGGTCACCTACTACCGCGTGTGTAAGCGGATCCATTGAGTGATCCAATCCCTCAAAAACATCCATCAACAACTTGTTTGTTTTATATTCTCTCAGTATAAAAATAAATACTTTGGAGATTGGTTATAACACGTAAGAATTTAATAAAGATTTGAGCTGTTCGCCCAAACGATACATTTTCCTAAATGTTGATAAATATGTACATGTTTTGTCTAAAATCTAAATCTTATTAATTTATTATTCAATACAGTTCTGGCTAGTTGTGTGTCGCGTAATGTTTAATTTTTACACAAGAATTAAAAAAAAACAAAAACGCGTGATGGATTATGAGGTTGATTTGTGTGGTCCGGAACATCTCGCTGCTTGTATGCTGTCAAAATCATTGTTTCTAGGAAGAATCATCCTGGATTCACTATTATTGTGTTTGAATATTTGATGAAGTTCCGTTTATGCCGAAGCACGTCTTTGGTAATGGGCCCAAGAGTTTCACGGGAGTTTGATTCATTCAGACGGAAAATTTTAATTTGCATTATTTTTAAAAAGGGATTAATTTAGGTTTAACGGATTAATGAGAAGAAATTAAATTAGCTTTAGGCTTTCAAATGGTAAAACCTTTTCTGTTGTTCTATTCTCCCGTTTCGAGGTTATAAAAAAAAAAAATAGAAAGAAAAAGGAACGTTTATCGGATTTTATCACCCTACTCGATAATCCGTTCACATTTTTTAAGGGTTGTACGGCTGTGGGCGGAGGGTATTTCTTTATCATCCCCCATGGCCGGGTGGGAGCGACGAAGGGGGTTGCATCCTTCGGCAACGACGGCAGTCTCTCACGAGCCGCGGGACGCTGAACAGTGCGAAGCCATTTAAGGCAAGAAAAGAAGACGCGAATTTCCCGCATTTCCGAAAATCAAAAAAAGAAATCATGATTTTCGCCTTGCTTCTTGTACAGCTCGTAAGGTAAGAAAAGAAAAACTTCAAGAAAAAGAAGAAAATCCATGGGAAGGGGGGTCCCTCGATGTGCCTTTCGGTTCCAACCCGATAAAAACCACGGTTTAAAAATTTCCCTACACTTTATTTTTTTATTATATTTCAAAAAATAATAAATAGTAATAATAATCTCATCTACGGTAGAATGAACGGATGGATTTTAATCTGGTCGACTCTACCTGTTGCTTCTCGACCTAACTCTATCAAATTGCCCACACTCTGTTTTAATGATTTTAACACAATTTCTCATCAAACAATGATAAAAAATATTTAAATATTTTTGATATTCCATATTGGGCTCGTCTTCCTATTATTAAGGTGAAAAACGTTATTTATTTCAGATAAAAACGTTTCAGTTGTTCCAATAATATTTTTAATCACATTAATATATATTTCAAAGCAACTTTTAAGCCATTTAAAAATTCTTATTTTACTATTTAATCTGTCATGAACTTTACATTATTGTAATAAAAAGTATAAATAATTTAACAAAAAAGATATTTAAACTAGAAAATTACACATTTTTATTATATCTTACACTTCTTTTACAAGTCTCGCTTAGAAGATTTTTTTAAAATTTCAAATTCAAGAATATTGAACATAATACTTTTAGGTTAATGAAGGATATAAATACAATTTTTAAACAAATTTACTTAGTGTTCTTTTAATGAATTAAATTAATTCCTCTTGTGCAGTTTAAAACTAGTTGAGGGCTACTATTTCCTCAGGAAGACCTAATTATATTTAAATAGTTGCCTTAAAATTAATTTTATAAAATTGAATTAACTGTAAATTGAAACGAGGCGTTCTGTTTAGTTTAATATTACAAAATAATTTTTTTTTACATATGAGTTGAGTTTAATAGAAAATATTGTTCAGTCCTGTCTCATTTTGGGGATTTAAGATCAAAACACAACAATTACCCTGGTATCTAACAGATGTCTTTGAAATAGTGGGATTTGAGACATTTGTAAATATAACTTTTGAGAAGAAAGAGGATTAAATTTTCTTATACTTTTCATTTAGACAACATTACGATTATTATGTGTGTGTCAACTAGGAATACATAATACTTCATACGATGCATTTGATTGTTAATTATTAACATTGCGTAATTTCTAATAGGAATATCAATTTCATTGGATTCAAAAATAGCTTTTAAATGGTAGAATAAATTTTTAGATACTTATTGTTTTCCGACGCAAGCAAAAATCATACTTGTAGGTTCTCAGAATCAATTTTTTTCTCTATAAGTCAAATACTTTAATCCAGAGGTCGGCAGACTTTTTTCCTCTTTATAAAAGGTCCAAACCGTAAACCAAATCAGGTCCGGCGGTCCAGGTTGTAAGTTTAAAAATTTTGTATTTTGTATTTGCTGGTTTTTTTACATACATTTTTGATGCATTTAACTAAATAAATCGAATATAAATAACTGAATACAAATAATTTATTATATTTATGTACATGGTGTCCCATGATGTTACCTCTTAACTTCCTTAATTTTCGTCCACTTTTGATAAATCTTTTTTTTTTAATTTTCGTTATGAAGTCTAGGTTTTAGATGTTTCATCGGTTCCTGAAATGACGTTTTGGTTCACTGTTTTTTCACATAAATTGTTCCCTACGTACTTTTCTAAATTAGACCCCTCAACTTTTATTTCTGACTTCAAAACTAGATCATTTTGCGATTTTTTTCGATTTTCTAAATCTGTAAATTTGGCTGTCGATTTTAAATATAATTTTTCTTCACCACTACCTTTCGGCCCTTCATTTCTTCCATCTTCCACCTGCCGGATTCATTCCATCATTTTGATTTTTCCTACTTTGATAGAATTAGTTTAAATTGTTGACTTCGATAGTTTAGATTAATAGTGCTTACGGATTTAACAATATCGTATTTTTTTAAATGTAGATTTATTTATTGACTAGCTACATCGCGTTATCGCCTCGATTTAAAATGTTAAATTCTGAAGTAGAAATAATTTTTTTTTCAAAGGATTACGTGTAAAACAATCACACATAGGACAAATTATGTTTCCAACATGGACATGTAGGACATCTTTATTGCTAGCTCAAGCCTATTTATTTCCTAGTTGTATCCCTTGGATTTTGATAAATCTGTCCTTCTAGGTTTCTTCTTTTTTCATAATTGTTTGTATTTGGACAAGGGCTAAATATTATTGATATTTTCTTTTGTTATATAGGAACAATTTTGTTGTATGCTCACATATAGAATTGTTGCTCACAGGTATACTTTGGTGCACTTGAATATCTCGAGTGTAAAAATTTTCGTAGGCAGAATTTTAAGTATGTTCGTATATATTTAGTAATGTTTGTAAGCATATTTAGTGTATCTACTAACTTTGACTGTTAAGATTTTAATAAAGAATCATACTTTGATGTATCAGCGTTTGCATACTTTGATTGCTCAGTTATTATAAGTAACCATACTTTTAATCATCTGAAATAATGGTTTAGATTAATGTTCGTAAGTGTACTTTGGTGAACGTATTGTATTATTGTTCGTAAATATACTTTGGTGCACCTGAAAACTATGATTATTCTGGGTATTTAAGCGTCCTTTAGTTCTTCTGTATCCTTTGATTGTTTAGATTATTGGACTTAGGTATACTTTGGTGCATCTATACACTATAATTTTTTAGTTTATATTTACAAGAAGTACTTTGGAGTATTTTCAGATATTGAAGTTTTGCCGTTAGTACACTTTGGTGCACATACATACATTGATAGTTTTCGTTATCGAAGCCATTCTTTGGTGCTTCTTAAATCTTGACTTTTAGATTGTTGGCTGTCGGTATACACTGGTGCATCCGCATATTGAATTATTTTTTGTTACCATACTTTGGTGCGTCTAAAAATTGGTTAGATTAATATTCATAGGTATATTTTGGTAAATGTTTATATATTGACATATAAGTACTTATGTTCGTAAGCACTTGAATATTTTGATTGTTTTGGCGATTTAAGCATTCTTTTGTGCTTCTTCAATTCTTGATTTTTAGAATATTGGGCTAGGTACATTTTGATGCACCTGTGCAGAATGATTCCTTAGATTATGGCTTTTAGGCGTACTTTGGTGTATGTTCACAGATTGAATTGCCGTTCACAAGAATATTTAGGTGCACCTATTTCAATTGGGTTATTGTATTATACTAGTTAATGCACTGCCGTATCGAGAAATATTGATCGTAGACATATTTTGATTGCTGGGTAGTCGTACATAAGCATGCTTTGGTGTATCTGAAAGCCATAACTGTTTCGAGTATTCGTAGGTATATTTTGGTGATAAGTTCATATACATTACTATTACATCATGTAGATTATTATATATTTGATCTAACTTTTTGTATCTTTTTCAGTTAGCATTGAGTTTTTTGGTCTATTGTCTGGTGCTTTATCCTAAAATACCAGTTGTCCTTTTATGTAAATTCCAATGTTTGTGAGACATGCTAACTTATCAAAAATACACAAATATATGCAATATGTAAGATATCTCCTCATTTTTTAAATTTTTTTATTGCAAGGTATGAAAGAGATGGTCAATTTATCACATAACGCGCAGCCATTTTGCCGGGTCAATTCGATACCCGGATTTTTTATCTACTTTTCATTCATAGCCGTTATTCAATTGGTCTTGTCGAAAAGCAGCATTCGGCGGGATCGGACTTCGGCCGAAAGATCAACCCTTACAAGTTGTAATGAGCATGAATGTGTCATTACACGGAGAGTCCACTCTTCATCCCTCTTTGCTAATTTAAAATAACGCTTTGAAAAAAATATTTTTAATCTCGGCTGAAAAGGGTTAGAATATGAAAAACCTCGTTTGTAAGATTGTAATTATTTTTTTTAAATAGTGGGCGAGGGTCGAAAAAGGTACCATGTTGATATCTGTTTCGTTCAAAATGTCAACACTCACTTTTCTTTCGGATCTCAGCAATATTTAACAAATATTTGACTTGAAGATTCAAAACAAAGACTTCGTGAAAAATTGGTTTTTATCTTAACGATTGAAAATCAGGCATCGTGCATCCCTTCGTAAATTTAACAATCACGATACAGCCCTGACAGCTATTTCTGATAATTTCATAAGGAATAAAATATGTAGATTGTCACCCCTGTTTATTCTGCAAATACGACTCTTGACAACAGAGAGAACGAATCCTACTACCACTTCAGTGTGTTCTGTGTTTACAAACAGACACAAAGAGAACGTAACTGCTTATCTCTAATTAAAATCCCTCATTCGTCTTAGAAGTGCAAAAAAGTTGTCTAGCAAAAAAGGCTAGCAAGGAAATATCTGACAAATATATCCATATATTATATTGTTTGGACTCCCCCTCCTTAAAGTGATTAATTTCATTTTCAACAAATCTGTACCAAATGTAACAATTATATATTGTTAATATTATGTATAAAAACAAGTTACATAAAAGCTAGAACTTGTTCGGGTTGTCTCATGGTGTGATTAGGAAAAAAAGAGTGTTAGTTTCAATAAAATACTTTTCAGTTTTGTATAACTAATAATATCAATAAGTGTTGATTTTGTAAAATTGATTCAGTGACATTTTTCATAAACGTTTTTGAATCAAATAAACGCAAAGAAAATTAATAAAATGTATTAATGAATTTTGTAATCTTGCAACCACCCGTGAATATTTATGAATTTTTTTTCTCCCAGCCTACATATATTTTTCACTGACGCAGAATTCGTTTCGAGAGCGCCATATTTTGCTTTATTGGAAAAAATGTATTGTGTGGACTGGTCGTCGGCGGAGTTATTAACTTATAACTCCAGAGGAACATGATTCCGCCATGGATTAAAGTTACACCCTTTAGCTTTACGCGGCCACGCTTTTCCCTTTCGTCTGTTTTAATTTATTAAACTTCAATTTTCTAGAAATCAAATAGCAGAATGAGTAGACTTAATCGTAATGAACTTCCTCGAAACG